CAATGAAACACAGATAGACATTCCTCTGGTATTCCCTGCTTTCAGCCAAGATCCATCTAACATCAGCTACAATATCCCTAGTCCCACGACCCCTTCTAAACCCAGCCTGGACTTCTGGTACTTTCCCAAATTTCCTTTTCAACCTGAAAACATTGGGAGGTAATAAAACATTGGGATGAAAACCAATAAAACATATTTTTTAAAAACCATAAAGAAGGGGAGCTCTGGTGGCCTAGTGGCAAGGAGCTGCAACTACAATCCCAGAGGCACACGGTTCGAATCCACCAGATGCTCTGCGGGGAAAAGGAGGGACAATCTCCTCCTGTAGCAGTCAGATCTGATTTGACGTTACACTCACATAAAAATAAAAAATTAAAAAAAAAAAAACCCCAAAAACCAACAACAACAAAAAACCTGGGGAGATGGGACTGACCCCTGTGTGAGAAAAAAATGGCCTGGGAAGCTCCAGAATGAATCTTAGGGTGATTCTGCATCTCAGGAAGGCCTGGTCAGACTTCCTAGATCAGAGAAGCCAGGGGTGTCTGAGAGGAGAGAAGGGTGTAAGGAGAAGGTCTGGGTCTGTACCAATTTAACAGCCTGGGGGAGGAATAAGCCAGAAAGGTGAAAGCCCTTCTGGGGGCTTCTCGTTTGCCTTTTCTCTGTAGGCAGGCATTGACGGGGAGAAGGAACATGCCAACGCCAGAAAGATTCTGCTAGAGATGGGCGAATTCTTTCAGATTCAGGTAGGAAGCCATGAGCCCCTGGAAAAGACCAGGCACCAACTCTTCCGCCCTCCCTTCCCTGGAGCCTCTTCATTCCTCCTTCTTGCTCCTTGTCCAGGATGATTACCTTGATCTTTTTGGTGACCCGAGTGTGACAGGCAAGATTGGCACTGACATCCAGGACAACAAATGCAGCTGGCTGGTGATCCAGTGTCTGCAGCGGGCCTCCCCAGAACAGCGCCAGATCCTGCAGGTACCCAGACGACTGTCTTGGATCCCTAATGGGAAACTGGGTAGAGCAGTGGTTCTCCGCTGGTGTCTTGGCCACATCTGTAGACATACTTTGTTGTCATGACCGGTGTGTGTATTTGAGGAGTATGTTAACTACTGCTAAGCATCCCACAGTGTACAGACTGCCCCACAATAATTACCTGGCTCAAATGTCACAGTGCTGAGCTCCATAAACTTTGGGGTAGAGAAAGCTGCGAACTGAGGCAGCATTCGAACATCTGGGAGAAGGGGGAGGCTCAGGAACTTAGAAACCAGAGTTCTGGAGTATCTGGGTAAAGGAGGGAGTATAGAGAATTCCTTGAGGTACTGGAGAAGGGAGAAGGCAAAGCACACCCCCCCCCCCTTTTTTTTTTTTGTCTCCTACGCCTTCCAGGACAATTATGGGCAGAAGGAGACGGAGAAGGTGGCCCGGGTGAAGGCACTGTATGAGGAACTGGAGCTGCCTGCTGTGTTCAAGCAGTATGAAGAAGAGAGTTTCAGCCACATTATGGGGCTTATCGAGCAGTATGCTGCTCCCCTGCCCCCAGCCATCTTCCTGGGACTAGCGCACAAGATCTACAAGCGGAAAAAGTGACCCTAAATACGGCGAGGGTGGGGGAGGGGAGGCTCTTAATAAATTATTATTGTTTAATCTTCCTGTGGTTCTTTTCGTGCGTAAGCCAGCCAGTAGGCTCTGTCCAAACGGTGGGGTTTGGGGAGTTTCCCCCTAGAGACCAGGAGGCAGGATGGAGCCTTAGGAAACAACAAAAGGGGCAAACCAAACCTTGTCTAGGTGGATGACACAAGCCAGACGCCTGGCTGCGGCGGGCAGGAAAGCGCACGGTGCCGCGCCCCGCCCCCTGCGTGGATGGGCGCGGCTGCGCAGCAGCATAGGGCCGGCTGTCTCGGCGCCCCGCCTCCTCCGTCCCCCTCCCCGCTGGTCTGGGCCGGGTGGGGACCGTGGGAGCCACTGACAAGTCCAAGACTGGGAGCGGTTGCAGGAGGACCCTGGTGAGGAGGGCCCGGCCCGAGGGTGTGGATGGATGGACCGTGGTACTTGGGGTGAAGGATGAGAGAGGAATTAGTAGAAATGAATAGAGAAAGGGTGGGGTGGTGGCTGGATGATGGAGAGCAATAGGTAGAGAGACCCATAAGACCGGCTCCCAGGGTGGAGTGAGCTTACCGAAGGCTGCAGTCTAGGTCCAGTGGGATCACATTGGGGTGGCCTACAAATGCAGAGTTGAAAGGACTGCTCCTCATTGCCCCCGCCCCTTTCCTGCATTAACTAGACAGATGGGTCTTGTTGCCCCGGCCTCATTTCCAAGCATCTCAGCAGAGCTTCCCTTGGTCCTTTCTTCTGGGAACTAGGGGCAGGCTGGATCCTGGCCAGATTGCTGCAGATAGTATCCTGGGGTCTGTTCTGGGCCCCATCCTTTTCCAAGCCCCCGCACCCCTATGGAGAACTAGAGCGCAGCCGCATTCTCTGACCCTTCCCGCACCATTCCCGGGGGTTTAACATTCGACTCCACCTCCAAACACTGCAGTGGGAACTAATGGCCAATCGATTTCCATTTGCATCTCATGTAAATATCATCTGAAACATCCGGCGGCTTCCCATGCCCGGTTAGTCACCTTAGTGTCCTTCCCGCAGTTCTCGCCTTCATGAGCTGAGTTTCACACGTCCTGTCTTCTAGGTCTGCTTTTGCGGTTGCCAGGTAGGTGGATGCAGGAAGCCTGACCCTCTTGATTCTCTGGAGACCATCCCGTCGCCGCGGCACCATGCTTTCCCCTCAGAGGGCTTTACTCTGCAACCTCAACCATATCCACCTCCAGCACGTCTCCCTGGGCCTGCATTTGTCCCGCCGTCCTGAGTTACGAGAAGGCCCCTTGAGCACACCTCCTCCCCCGGGGGATACCGGGGGCAAGGAGAGCCGGGGCCCCTGCAGCGGGACCTTGGTGGATGCCAATTCCAACAGCCCTGCAGTGCCCTGCCGCTGCTGTCAAGAGCATGGGCCGGGTTTAGAGAACCAGCAGGATCTCTTGCAGGAGGAAGAGGGGGCTGCGTCTCCGTCGGACCCTGGTTGCTCCTCTTCTCTCAGCTCCTGCTCAGATCTCAGCCCTGATGAGTCCCCAGTTTCCGTTTACTCACGGGACCTCCCTGACAATCAGGATGCCCGCCCTCAGCCCGGCACAATCCCGGTGGAGCAGGGATCCCCGCAAGCTTCAGCAGGCCCTGCAGCCTGCTCCCCGGACAGCTTCTGCTGCTCCCCTGATTCCTGCTCGGGAGCGTCTTCGCCAGGACCTGGCCTGGATTCTAACTGCAATGCCTTGACCACTAGCCAGGACCTCCCTTCTCCAGGGCTGGAAGAAGAGGATGAGGGCGGGGAGCAGGATCTCCCTACATACGAGCTCCCAGAGGCGGATGATGGCAAAATCGACGCAGGACAAACGGAGCCTAGTTGGAAAATCAATCCCATTTGGAAAATTGACACGGAGAAAACAGAGGCTGGCTGGAAGATCACGGAAAACAATAACTCTGATTGGAAAACCAATGCGAATATTAACTCCAGCTGGAAAACGGAACCTGGAAAACTCGACTCCAGTTGCAAAACCAATGCGGGCGTAAGTGATTCTGGCTCCAAAACAGATGCAGGGAAAACTGATGGGGGATGGAGAAGTGACGTCAGCGAGGAGCCGGTGCCACACCGGACAATCACATCCTTCCACGAGCTGGCCCAGAAGCGCAAGCGGGGCCCGGGGCTGCCCCTCGTGCCGCAGGCCAAGAAAGACCGCAGCGACTGGCTCATCGTCTTCTCGCCAGACACTGAGCTGCCCCCTACCGGGTCGCTGGGCGGTTCCCAGGCACCTCTCCGGGAGGTTACCACCTTCAAGGAACTCCGGTCCCGAAGTCGGGCTCCGCCTCCTCCAGTGCCTCCCCGAGACCCCCCAGCTGGCTGGGCTTTGGTCCCGCCCCGGCCCCCACCTCCACCTGTCCCTCCGCGGAGGAAGAAGAACCGACTAGGGCTGCAAGAGCTGCAGCCCATAGCGGAGGGGCAGCCGGAAGAAGGCAGGGCGGGCAGCCCAGCTGCAGGCCAGGAAGCCCCAGCTGCGAAGGAGCCCGAGGAAGCCAGCGCGCAGGCCAGCCTCGAGGGTAAGAGGCTTGAGAGGAGGTGGGAGAGGGCTGGGCTTCGGCCTCGCTCACACACTTCCCAGCCTTCAATCGGTTCCTTTCTACCTCCATTCTGTGTCACTCACTCTCCCCGCCCCCTTCTATCAGGGAAAGCTCTGGGAAATGGTCTGGGTGGTTGGCTGGGTTATGGGACTAACTCTTTGCTCCCTCTTTCTCCTGTCCCTTCTCGCCTGGCTGCCCGTCCCGCTGACCCCCTCCCACTCCACGCCTGTCCCGCCACTCCCGCCTGCAGCCAGTCCCCTCTTGCTCCCTCCGCCCCTGGTTTTCCGGTTCTCGGCCGACGGGCGCCCCCTGTTGGAGGGTGGGGACGCGGGTGCGGCGGGGTCTCTGTTCTTGGCACCTCTGGCCGGCTGGCCCGGCGCTGGGCTGCGGCTGCTGGGGGCGTCAAGCCCCCTAGAAGAACAGTTGCTCCCTGTCCGCCTGTCCCCGGTGGGAGCCTATTCGCCTCCGGCTCGGGGGGCCCTGCCCTGCCTGGCCAGCCCCGAGCTGGCATTGCTGCTGTCCCCGCTCTTTCCCAGAAGTAGCACCTTCCCTGCCGCGGCTCCCCCACCCCGCCAGGTACCCGCCCCCCGGCTGCCACAGCCACCTCGTCCGCCGAAGGCCCCTCGCTGGATCCGGAGCCCACCGCCTCCGCCCAGGCTACGTAAGACCGACCCGGGCTAGCCCGGAGGCGGGGCCTCCCCGCCCACTCCACGGCCACACCCACGCCCACGCCCCGGGCCCGCCCAGCCGCGGCTGCCCTTCTGCTTTAGCTCCTTCAGGCTTTACCCGCCTTGGCCCCACTCAGGTCCCACCCCTCACTCTGAGATGATGTCAAACAAATTGATAGATCTGGGGGAGTCTGGGCCGGATTCTTGCGCTGGGGTAAGGTGGCCCAGCCTGTCTTTCTAGGTCCATCGTGGAAGTAGTGGACGCACACTTATCCAGCTTCCATAGGCAGCTAACATGTCTATTGTTAGGGACTTTGGGTCACATTTGCTTGTGTGGAAGTCATTGGCCCGTGCAGTTCAGGCCCGATTGCCGCCTTGTGGAGGACTCTTCCCCTGAAGCTCATTCGCCTGCAGGTTCTGGCCATGGCTGCGCCACGCAGCTAGCCCTTCGTGGGCTGCAGGGGGCGCCCTCTGCCGAGAAGCGGGGGTGGGCCCGGGGTTCCCCTTTTTGGCGCCATTTAGCTTTCCAAACGCGGGGTCCTGCCTACCTTCTTCTCTCCTCCCTTTCTGTCTGTCTGTCTTTCCATTGGTCCAGGCTCCCCACGTGCTCCCGGGGCCTCCGCCGGCAGCACCGGGGCGCTGGGTTGGGTGTAGGCTTGTTCCTCCCTTCTCTGCCCTATCAGCTCCTGCCCTACTGGCCCCAGCTGGGTGGGCAGGAGGCCAGCGCTCTGTCCTGAGCTGGGGCCTTCTGGGATCGAGGGAGGTGGGAGGATGTGGGAGCTGGGCCCCTTTCCCGAGGAAGGGAAGTAGGAATCTAGAGGTGAGGATAGAAGTGGGCGGCGAGTCCTAGGATTTCACTCCGAGTTGCCCTGTGCGCCCCTCAGCCCTGCGCTCCTTTCCCCCAAGATCTGTCATTGGCAGGGACCCTCCAGACCCGCAGGAGATGACCAGTGCGGGAGCCTGGCGTCCTTGGGGCACCCTGCGGTAAGTGTCACCGCGCCCTTCTTCCTTCACCCCAGTCCGTAGTTCCTGGTCGTTCGCCGGAGTCCCCGGGGCCCAGCGGCTGTGGATGGCAGAAGCCCAGAGTGGGACTGGCCAGTTGCAGGAGCAGAAGAAAGGTAGGTTCTGCTATTTCTTACTGCTGGCCTTGGAGTGGCCTTCCCTTTCCCAGCATCCACACATAAACTAGTCTCTTTAATGTCCTCACAGCCTGGGGAGGTGGCCCTTGGCTACTGCCCGGGAAGAGAGGATTTTGACGGTTTCTTCTGTCCCCGCCCAGGTCTCCTGATAGCCGTCAGCGCCTCAGTGGATAAAATAATCTCACACTTTGGGGCTGCCCGGAACCTGGTTCAGAAGGTAAAGGTGGGAGCGGAGGGACAGGCCGGGGCAGTATGCGGGTGAGAGGGGGGGATTAATGAAGCTTTGGGGGAGCACAGGACTGCTGGTGAGAGGAGGTTGGCGTATATCTGAATCCATCTGTACTGCGCTGCCTGCAGGCTCAGTTGGGAGACAGCCGGCTGAGCCCAGATGTGGGGCACCTGGTGCTGACCACCCTTTGTCCTGCCCTGCACGCCCTGGTGGCCGATGGACTGAAGCCTTTTCGGAAGGACCTCATCACTGGGCAGCGCAGGAGCAGCCCCTGGAGCGTTGTGGAGGCATCAGTGAAACCAGGTGAGGGGCGAGGGCGTGGGGCTTGGATTGGGACAGAGTGGGGGCCTGGCTGACCATCTCAGAGGTGTCCCCAGGCTCCAGCACTCGCTCCCTGGGAACCCTGTATAGCCAGATCAGCCGTCTGGCCCCGCTGAGCAGCAGCCGCAGCCGCTTCCATGCCTTCATCCTGGGCCTCCTCAAGTGAGTGGCTGTTTTCCTCTGGGCCCCCTCCCATGACTTGAAGCTTATAGGAGTACCAAGGGTAGGACACTCGAGAGGTTCCTCCTGCCCCCAGAGAGGGCCTCCCTCTTCCACCTCCCTGAAGACCTGTCTTTCTTCCCCAGCACTAAGCAGTTGGAACTCTGGTTTTCCAGTCTCCAGGAAGATGCAGGTATATCAGAGGCTCGGGGG